GCAGCAGCAGCAGCAGCAAGGGACCTGAAGAGACTTTGCTGCAGCTGCTGGGCTGCGGGGGATGGAGGGCCCACGACGCGGAGATCGAAGCCAACTGCAGCAGCGTGCTGCAGCAGCTCCGTCGCATTTTCGCTTTCCCCAGCAAGCAGCAGCAGCAGCAGCAGCAGCAGCAGCAGCAGCAGGTGCTGTTGCCTATGCCCTTAGTCGTGCGAAACGACAGGTGGCTGGAGAAGATACCCCTTGGGGCTTTCCTTGCATGCAGCGCTCCTCGGCTGCCTCTCGCAGACATTCTCCCTAGAGCAGCAGCAGCAGCAGAGAGGCAGCAGCAGCAAAGTGCAGCAGCAACACGTAGCAGCAGCAGCAGCAGCAGCAGTCACGTGGGCAACGAGACGTCCGAGGTCTTCAATGGAGCCATTGATGCAGCTGCTAACTTGCAGCAGCAACAACAACAACAGCAGCAGCAGCAGCAGGAGTACGAGCAGGAGCTGGGTGTAGGGGGTGGAGCAGCAACAGCAGCAGATATCGGCTACGCTTTGCTGCAATCATTAGACTTTGTGCTGCTGTCGCGGTGTCTGCGCTGCTGCTGCCAAATAGGGGGGCGCGACCAGTGGAAGAACATATCGACAGGCCTCCACGTGGCTCGCCGTCTGCTGCAGCAGCAACAGCAGCAGCAGCAGCAGCAGCAGCAGCAGCAGCCGCAACAGCAACAGCAACAGCAACAACAGGAACAGCCTCAACAGCACGAGCCGCAGCAGCAGCAGCACGAACACCAGCAACAGCATCAACACCAGCAGCGGCCACAGCAACACCACCAGCAGCAGCCACAGCCAGAGCAACAGCAGCAACAGCAGCAGCAGGTGCAGCAGCAGGTGCAGCAGCAGCAGCAGCAGCTGGTAGGATTAACAACGGAGTTGTTAGAAGACAATGTCGGTTTAAAGATGAGTAAGAGCCTTGGGCCTCGCGGGTTTGTGCTTTGGCTGTCGCCTTCAATGTGCAGCGCCTCTGACTTCTGGCAGAGTTGGAGAAATGTTAAAGACAATCATATTCAAAAGCAAGTGCTGCTGCTGCTGCTGCTGCTGCTGCTGCTGCTGCTGTGCTGCTGCTGTTGTGCTGCTGCTGATGATGGTGGTGGTGATGTGCTGCTGATGCTGCTGATCATGATGATGCTGCTGTTGCTGCTTTGCTGCTGGTGGTGGTGGTGCTGCTGCTGCTGGTGATGATGATAGTGCTGCTGATGGTGTTGCTGCTCATGCTGATGCTGTTGCTGCTGCTGCTGCTACTGACGGTGATGGGGCGGTTCCTAGTGGACAGGGTGTTGCTTCTGGGCGCAGCAGCACTAGCAGCAACAGCAGCAACAGCACCAGCAGCAGCAGCAGCAGTGTCTTGGTTGTCTGCTGCAGGCTGCTGCTGTGGTTCTCTGAGAAGCGGGCTGAAGAAATTATCGCAGCCACTGAAGACAAATCGCCAGCCAACTTAAACAGACTCAAAGTTAGAGCTTGCTGCTGCTGCTGTTGTTGCTGCTGCTGCTGTTGTTGTTTCTGCTACTGCTGCTGTTGTCGCTGCTGCTGCTGTTGTTGCTGCAGCTGTTGTTGTTGTTGCTGCTGCTGCTGCAGCTGCAGCTTTTGCTGTTGCTGCTGCTGTTGCTGCTGCTGCCTTCGTGCTTCGTTGTGCCATGGGTGCTGCAACTCATACTGTGGCTGCTGGTGTTGATGCTTCTGGCTGCTGCTGCTGCTGCTGTTGCTGTTCCCGAGGTTCTCGCGACTGACGGTGTATTTCCATCATTTGTTAATGTTTTGTCTGTGGTTGCTGCTGCTGCTGCTGCTGCGTTTGCTGCTTTTGCTGCAGCGGGATTTGGCTGACGAGCTTACCCTTCTCGTGCACGGGGAGGAGGGCCTGCAGCGCGCTCATGCCTCGCTCTCTTTCCTTTCACGCCGCAGCAGCAGCAGCAGCAACAGCAGCAGCAGCAGCAGCAACAGCAGCAACAGCAGCAGCAGCACGGCTGGAACGGATGACGTCCAGAAGGCGTTGCCGCTGCTGCCTACTCACTTTATATCCTCCTCAGAGTTTTCTCAGGTAGGCCGCAGCAGCAACAACAGCAGAAGGAGCAGCAACAGGAGCAGCAGCAGCAACTGCAGCAACAGCAGCAACAGCAGCAGTAGGTGCTGATGCTGCTGCTGCAAGAAGAGACGTAACGTTTGGGACTTCGTGCTGCAGCATGCGTTGATGCTGCTTGCTGCGGGTGTTTGCTGCTGCTGCTGCAGGAGACAGGGCCTCCTTTAAGCAGAGTGCTGCGGTTTGTTTGTCTGTCTCCTTCTGCTCTTGAGGCCTCGCGGCTGATTAAAGAAGGCGGAGTTCGTCTAAATGGAGACAGAGTCTTAGACCCCACACGTCGTCTGCTGCTCTCTGACTTCAAGCTGCCGCAGCAGCAGCAGCAGCAGCAGCAGCAGAAGGGAGCAGCAGCAGTAGCAGTGCTGACTGTGGGGAAGAGTCGCCTAGCAGCGCTGGCTTTAAAGACAGCGCAAACGGAAGAAGTTTAATCTTGAGTTGTTGTTGGGGTGTATATGCAGATAGAGTTATATATAATTAATGAACTGTATCTAATTATAAAGGCGTATTATATTTATATTTTACTTTCAAGCCGATAGGCATACACAAGCTGCTGCTGCTGGTACTGCTGCTGCTGCTGCTGCTGCAGAGATGCATGCCGCAGAACAGCAAAACAACGGCTGCAGCAGCTGTTGTTGCTGTTCTGCTGCAGCAGCAGAGCAGCAGCAGCTGCTGCTGCAGCAGCAGCAATAGCTGCTGCTGCAGCAAAGCAGCGAATGTAGAAGAGACAGCTGCTGCTGCAGGTGTCTCTAATGGGGACACAGAGGGAGAAGGTGCAAATTGAGACAAAACGAAGAGAAGAGACAGAGAGACAAACAAACAAATAAATAAACAGAGAGGCAGAGACAGACAGACAGGCATACAAACAAACAGAGACAGAGACAGAGACAAACGTACATACAGACTCAAAGCGAAGCATATACATACATACATATACAGTACATAGATGCAGGAGAAGTTGGAGACACCTCAAGACAGAAGACAAAAGGAGACACCGAGGGCCTCACGCCGCCTCCTAAATCAAACAATTAATTCAAGTCCGGCGAGTCCCTCTTTGGGAGCTCGACCATAGCTAGCTGCAGCTAGCCACAGCTAGCCACAGCTAGCCACAGCTAGCCACAGCTAGCCAAATTATGCACGCGCAAACCAGCTAGCTAAACAAAGCAACAGCTAGCCATAGCCTGTTCTGCTAGACTCAGCTAGCCATAGCTAGCCAAACAGAGCCACAGCTAGCCACAGCTAGCCACAGCTAGCTCGGAGTGGTGGTAATTAGCGCCAGCGTCCCCTATCTGCAGCAGGCAGCGTCTGGCTAGGCAAGTAGGGGGTCTCCACGAGCTGTATCTAGCTGTGACTAGCTACAGCAAGCTCAGCTAGCTGCAGCTAGCCACAGATAGCTGCAGCTAGCTGGTGGAGGGGTGTTAGTAGTAGCTATTTGAGAGGGCATATTTGATGGCTGGGAAGGGGTGTCTATGAACGGGAGGAGGCGTAGGCATTGGTTGATTTTGATTGGGTGTAAGGAGACAAAACTGTCTCTGTCTGTCTGCTTTATCGTAGGGTCTGGGGTCTCTAAAGGGGAGATAGCTTATCTTAGCTTTTGCTTGCTCTAACAGGTGCTCTGCTGCATGCAGAGCTACTTCAACAAGCCGCTGTCGCGTTGCATGCGGGCGCTCGCATAAGTGGTAGTTAGACTTATGAAGCTTCTTCATAGAAGCCCTTAGCAGCTGCTTGCCTTCATCTGCCTGTCTTGCAGCTAGGTGAGGGATACTGCTGCTGCTGCTGCTGCTGCTGCTGCTGCTTTTGGTGTTGGTGCAGCAGCAGCTAGCCATGTAGCAGCAGCTGGCAGCAAAGTGCGCAGTAAGCATTTCTTGTTCATACTCTAACCGCTCGCATACAGCTCTAGAGACAGCGCGGCGCTGCATTACATCGGGGTGTCTCCTGCAGCAGCAAGTAAGTTTATAACAAACTCTTCTCCAGCAATTGCATAGCTTCATTAGGAGCTTCCACCAGCAGTAGATGCAGCAGCAGCAGCTGCAGCAGCACTTAATGCAGCAGCCGCATTTAACCCGTGCACATAGACGAGGCAGCTTATCTCCTAAGGCTTGCCTTACAGCAACAAACTTTCGGAAGTCAGGACCAGCCCAACGTAGATATGCTTGAATAGCTTGTTTAAGATGAATGCATGCAAGGTGTATTTGTTGTTGTCTTAGGGGCTTTCTATATCTCTTCTTGCCTATACAGCGACGAAGACAAGAAGGCTTAGGATATAATGTCTTTTCTATGCATTTTAGCGGAGCCTCAAATGCTGTTATCTCTCTTAAAACAACCTTACGCATGTGTTTCTGCTTCTTTGTTGCTGTTCGTATAACTTGGCTACGCATGCGATCTGCTGTCTCCAGCAGCAAACCATGTGCACTGTCTATTAGCATTGCTGCTTTGTTGTTGCTGCTGCGCCTCAGCTGCTGCTTACGTCGCCGACGCACCCTCCTGCGGCTCTTTCGTTTGTAATCACAGAGAGGATCTGCTGCTGAAAGAGCTGCAGCAGCAGCACCAAATGCAACAGCAGCAGCAACACAAACAGCTATCATGCTGCAGCAGCAACAATACCTGCGCAATCTTCGTTGTGCAACTAGAAGCAGCAGCAGCAGCAGCAACAGCAGCAGCAGCTGCAACAAATACAAGGCTAAAGCAGCAGCAAACGCAGCAGCAAATGCAAATCAGCAACACCAGCCGCGCCACCAACAGCAGCAGCAGAAAAAGCAGCAACAGCATCAGCATAATCAAGAGCAACAATAACAGCAAAAGAAACAGCAGTAACAGCAGCAGAAACAAAACCAGCAGCAGCAGCAGAGTCACCGCCACAAGCAGCAGCAGCAGCAATATCACCAACAATAACAATAGTAACGACAATAGCAACAGCAGCAGCAACAACTGCAGCAACAGCAGCAACAGAGAAGTGCAGCAGCAGCAGCAGCAGCAGCAGCAGCTGACCATAGACTTTTCTCTCGCGTCTCTTGCGGTAGAGGAAGCCGCAGCAAGCGCGGCATGGGTGGCACTTGCAGCACGAACAAAACACCATTCTTGCATTATGCTGCTGCTGTTGCTGCTGCTGTTGCTGCTGCTGTTGCTGCTGCTGTTGCTGCTGCTGTTGCTGCTGCTGTTGCTGCTGTTGCTGCTGATGTTTGCTGCTGCTGTTGCTGCTGTTGCTGCTATTGCTGCTGATTGTGTATTTGAGGCAAGGTAAAGGGTTGTGCCTTCACAACCCCCGTCAGCTGTCTCCGTTTGTCTTCTTTGTTTTGTCTGTCTCTTTTTCGTTTGTCTCTTTTGTCGTCTCTGTCTCTTCCCTGTCTGTCTCCTTTGTCTATTTTTCTGTGTCTGTCTTTGTCTCCGTTCTTTGTCGCTGTCTTTGTCTTTGTCTTCGTGGTTGCCTTCTGATTGTTATGTCTCTCTTTGTCTCTGTCTCTGTTTCTGTCTCCTTCTTTGTCCCTGTCTCTGTTTCTGTCTCTTTCTTTGTATCTGTCTCTGTCTTTGTCTTTGTCTTTGTCTTTGTTTTTTCCTTTGTCTTTGTCTGTGTCTCTCTTTGTCTTTATCTTTGTCTCTGTCTTTGTCGATGTCTTTGTCTTTGTTTTTTTCTTTGTCTGTGTCTTACCTGGTTTGCTCGTGTCTCTCTTTGTCTTTGTCTCTGTCTCTGTCTCTGTTTGTCTTTGTCTCTGTCTCTGTCTCTGTTTGTCTCTGTCTCTGTCTTAACTGGTTTATCTGTCTCTGTCTTTGTTACTGTCCCTGTCTCTGTTTGTCTTTGTCTCTGTCTCTGTCTCTGTTTGTCTTTGTCTTTGTCTTTTTGTTTTTTATGTTATGCTCTTTGCATCTTCTGGCTGGTAGCCCCTCTGTCTCTGTTCGCTTATTGTATCTGTTTGTTTGTCTTTGTCTATTTTTTTGTTTTGTTTATTTGTTTTATTTATTTATTTATTTATTTGTTTTGTTTGTCTCTGTATATTGTTGTTTGTTTTGTTTGTTTATTTGTTTGTCTCTTTCTGTCTTTATCATTTGCTTATTTATTAATTTGTACATATATATATAT